CCCAAGCACGCCGTAGAACTTGCCCACCTACGCCGTCTGTGTTGGTCTCTCCTGGAAGTGTCAGCCCCCACCCCGGAAAGGTCCTCAGCTTGTTTCCTTCTGTGCGCTTGTGTCTAACACAGTGCCTGGCACACGGCAAGTAATGTCAGGGCAGACGCGTGCGGTGGGGCCAGACCCGGCTTAGAAGCCTCTCCTTGCAGCTCCCCGGCCCTTGGGGGTGTAAATGGAGGCTATGATTGGGGAGGTGATTCCCAGGTGGGGTGACTCCCTAGATGCTGTAACCGTGCCACCTGCCGGAACATCCCCTGTGGCCCTCAGCCCAGGCCCGCGTGAGCAGCAGGTTTTTACAGGTTGATCACAGGAGAAGGCACAGGCCAGTGTGGGTCGCGTTGCTGCCTCGAGTACGGCTGTCTTTGCAGTCTGCTCCCTCCAGGGACAGAGGTGGTAACCTCTCGGGGATGGTGCCGGAGAGGGCCATGTGGGAGGAGGAGGCGGGGGGCTTGGTCACCTCTGATGGTGCAGACGTTGTCTTATTGGTAGCGGTTCTCGGGCCAAGGCCTGTGAGATGCCAATACGCCAGAAAGGCAGGCTAAATAGGAACCCACTTCCCGGCCCTGGCTGTCCCCCTTCTTCCTGGCACACGCACTCGGCCTTGCTGCTGGCTCTTGTATCCTGTGGCTGTGAAGCAGTTGTAAGGGTCGGGGCTGAGCCTGGGCGACCAACTTTTGACGGCCATCGGAATGGGGTTCGAATCCCGACCTGGCCACTTATCAGCTGTGTGACCGTGGGCAGGTCACTCAAACTCTCCGAGCCCCAGCACGGACAGCACGTCGCCCGCCGCAGTGACTGGCACGTCACGTGCACTCGGCAAACGTTAACACTGTGCAGCCCGCATCTCACCTCCTCTGGAAGGTTCAGGACTTCTCTTTCCATGGCCTTGGGCAGCAATGGTCTCTATCATTTATTTGACACCTGGCACATGTTCGTAGCCATCCTCCCCCAGGGCCTGGCCCCGGGCTTAGCATGAAAGAGGCTGTTGAGAACTGACAGCCCGACGACTCTGAGGCCTGGTTCTGTGTCTTCTTGGCAGTGGGTATGTTTGAGGGATTTCTGGAAGTCTTCCTGCAAGGATGGGCTGTAAGCCAGGTCCCTGAGAGATTTGGGGGCAGCCAGCCCTGACCCTGCTCCTACCCCTGGGGCACGTCTCTGGCACTTATCCCAGGCCCAGAGCAGAACCCCCACACGGAAGGCTGTGTGTCTGTGTTTCCTGGTTCGGTGGGGGCAGGTGAGGGTTGGTAGGAGCCCAGGCCCCATCCTGAGGTGGAGGAGGTCACGCAGCTCTGCCGGGTGGGAGGTGGGAGGGCTGGGAGGTTGGAGAACAGCCGTTGCACAGGGCAGGGCGAGGTCAGGCTCTCCCGGGGGACACAGGCCACTTGCTGTGGCCCCAGTGTCAAGGGAATGCCTGCAGGCAATGCAGCATCCATTGCGACGCCTGGGCTGGAGGTTGGAACGCAGGGGCCTCTTCCCACTGCCGTTAGCCTCTCTCTCTGGGCCTTGCTTGCCTTCCTGTAGCCAGAGAGGCCAGAGAAAAGGCAAGAACTGGGATTTCAGGGAGAACCCGGTAGCAGGAGGGACCCACTTTTGCCAAGCTACTCTGCTTCACCCTTTGGAGCCGGGGTCCCCGCGACCTACGGTCTCGGCTCCCTTGCCCCAAGCTGAGGACAGAGTCAGCATGGAGCAGACATCACCCCTGCGTCTAACGGCTTCAGAGCTGCCCCCCGCCCCCGATCCTGCAGAATCAGGGCTGTGTTTGGCTGCCCGTAACCCACAGAAGAGAGGCGCCAAGGCAATGTGACTGCCTCCGGAGGGGAAGCAGACGTTTAAGGAGACAGGCTGGGGACAGTGTGCCTGGCAGTGTTGGAGCCCGAGCCAGCGTCGTGGAAATGATGCGTTTGGCACATGTGGGTGTGTTGTGCACAAGTGTGCACTGCTTTGCAGACGTTCATCCTGTGTCTATTGTGCATTGTACTCCCGAGGGAGGGGCTGTGCCTTCCCTTTTATCTGTTAGGAAACGGGGAATGGCGGGCAGCAGCGTGGCGTGATGGAATCAGTTCCAGTCCTGGAGTGACCTCTCTGGGCCTTGATTCCCTCATCTGAAAAATGGGGACAATACGTTATGGGGACACTTCAGAGGACTGAATAAAACAACACCTCTGAAAATCCTTGGTCTGTGGGAGTTGCCCTCGTAAGTGTTTATTTTCTTCCTTCCTTCCTTCCTTCCTTCCTTCCTTCCTTCCTTCCTTCCGCTGCAAACTTCGTGCAACACCTTGCAGAATGGCTACACTCCCCAGCTATTTGTGGATGATGTTCTTGGCAGATGTTGTTTAATTCTTATAACATCTGGTTTGGGAAGGCAGAGGGCTGGAGATTTTTTTGAAAAAAACACTCACTCACTAGGAGATGTCAGATTGTCACTTAATTGCTCTGTGCCTCGGTTTCTCCACTTGTAAATCAGGGATAATGCCAGCAATGCTGGCTAGCTTCTTTGTAGGATATGCTACGGCAATGCAGGATAACAGATGGAAAGTGGTTTGAACGTTTAGAAAAAGGCATCCCGCTCAACCTCGCTAGTAGTTAGGGAAATGCAAATTAAAGCAACAATGCCATACCATTTTTCATGCATCCAATTGGCAGCCATTTAAAAGAGGGATCACTTCCAGGTGGGCACAGAGGCCCTCTCATACGCTGCCGGAGGGAGCGGGAATTGCCACAACCTTTCCAGAAGGTAATACGGCGATGTCTAATAAAGGTTTACATACATGGCCCGGGTTGTATCTAATCCACCCAGTAATGCTGCAGCTGGAGAGCCAACTTCAAGAGCAACCAAGGTCCCGACACTATTATTTTCGGAGGGAGGCTCCTCGTGGCATTACCCGTGGTGGTGGGAACCTGGGAACACCCAAATGCCCAACAGTAGGGGATGCTTGTCTCTCTTGCAAACACCCATGCTCTGAACTATGATTTAGCTCCTAAAAAGAAGGGCGCGGATGTAGCAGTGTTGACGTGGAGGGTCATCCGTGAAATATCGTGATGTGAGAAGAGCAAGTTCCTTTTGTGTAGAGACAGTTCCATCATTCTAAAGATAAACACAGCCGCACCGCTCCATACGTGTGTGTAATGCGAACGGATTTGCTTGGGTGCAGGGAAGGACCCGGTAGGACGCGTGCCCAGCCCAACCCACCCACTCTGGCCATCAGACACGTCCTGTTTGGCTCCTACAAGTTGAATTATTTGCCAACATTTAAAAAGTGAATTCATAGAAAAAGCCCGATGGTCGGCTTTTCATTGAGAGAAATCAGAAGCCCTGGCCGCGCTGGGCCCACATCCCTCTTGGCCGGAACACATCAGCGGCTGCCCCTCTTGGACAGAGCCTGTGGCCTCTGAGTGGCCATCATCCCCACCCACCCGGTGTCTCCCTCATTTCTGTTCCTGGCCTGGCCCCTGGAGCATCTCAATTTGCATCCCTGTGATGCTGTTAACATTCCAAAGCTCAAGGGGGTGGAAATATAGGAATATATGAATGGGGGGGGGTCTGTCTTTTATTATTTAAATACATCTTAGGATCGTTTATTCTGCAAATTACCGTTTCATGCCTAGTAATCAGGACATCAGGGAAACAAATGTTAGAAGGGAAACCAAAGGGCGTCACGGGCCATTGCGTGTTGTATGTGGCAGGAACCCCGGTGGGGTCGTGTCACAGGCCACTCGGGCCACTCTGGGTCTGGAATTAAGGGATCTGAGCTTGTGGCTCTTTTGGAATCTCTCGCCCCTGGATCTTGCAGACATGTGGAAGTCTCTCCAGAGATCCCTTCCCTTCCGTTCCCTTCACCTCCCCGTGGCTTTCCTGGCCTCTCATCCACGAGGGAGGCGGCCGGTCAACTTAGGTCCAGATGCTGAGCCTGGTGCTCGCTAGCCGGGAGTCTCTGAGCAAGCTGTTGAACTGCAGGATGACGTGCAGGCCCTTGGCTAGGCCCTGCGGGGATGTGGAGGCGTGTGGGCTGTGTCCCTGTACTAACAGGGCTGGCATTTGAGAGGGCCGTGGCATCCCTAGCTGAGGAGCGTGGGCCCCTCCTGGCACCTCTGCTGGTCTCCGGGAGGCCTGTCCCTGAACTGCTGCAGGGCTGAGAAGGAACCAGAGGACCGTGGCCCTGCTGTAACAGGGCCACCACTATGGTGCGAGGTGCAGTCACCCTCCCCGACACTCTTCGAGGGATCTCGCCTCGCTGAGCCGCTGGGGGCTGGGCTCCAGATCTCGCTGGAGCTTTGCTCTGAGCCCCTAGAAATTTGGCCTCAGTGTTCTACAGACTTGCTGTGGAACGCTGTGCAGTTACCTCCCCTCTCTGTGCCACTCTGGACACTGCTGACTGCCGCCACCTTTCATATCCCAGATTATGAGATAGTAGGGTGGGTAGGAAAAGTGGGAAAAGACATGCCCATTGGGCACTTAGGCTGGGGGGATCCGGGGTGTTGGGCCTGCCAAGCCCGGTCTTAGACCCCTGACTGCCCGCTCAGCACCTATCTCCTATCCGTGTCCCCAGGCTACCCAAGCCCCATCACTCCTGGGGCTGCCATCCTGGAGGATGTAGGCAACGGCCCCTCCCCGCAAGGGGCCCAGAATGCCTCGGTCACGCATTCCTGTGCCTACCGCTTAGCCTCGCTCACTCTCTCGCTCGCTCGGCTGTGCAGCCAGCCTCATGAGGGCAGACGCACCGTTGCCCCTGCCCCCACCCCCAGGCCGCTGAGCTATACCCAGCCCTGGACGATACGAAACCAAGCGATGCAGACCCTCTCTTCTTTCCCACACCCGCCTCCCCACCACGTGAGTTGATTCCCTCCCTTCTTCCCAGGCCAATTCTCCCCGGAGCTGCAGGGGTGGGCAAGTGTAGGAGGGGCTCGGAGGGCAGGCTTCTCACCTCTCCTTCCTTGTGTCCCCAGGAGACATGAGGTGCCACGTTGCCACCGGCTGCCTCGTGGCCTGGCTGTTTGTGCTGATCTCCGGATGCCTGGGTAAGTCCGATCCTCTGCCCTTCCTGCCGCCGCCAGCGTGGGGTTTGTGCACTGGGAGGGGGCTGGGGGTGGGGCGCGGCTGCTCTGGGCCCGCAGACCTCGCCTTGCTGTGTGTGTGATTGCACACACACTTCCCTCTCTGGGCCTCGGTCGCTTCCGCAGCACTCACAGGACTGAAAATACCAGCCTCCCCGGGAGGGAAGGGGAGGAGCCTTGAGAAACAGGTGAGCTCCAGGGGAAGGAGGCATCTGTGACCGTGAACCCCTTCTGGGATGCAGGGAGTGGCTGCAGTGCTCTTCGGTTTCAGAGCTGTCTTTTGAGTACCTACTGTGTGAGGCTGTGTCTACTGTGCCCAGTTCTGGGGTACGGGGCAGTGACTCGTGCTCAGGGAGCCCCGAGCCTGGTGGGGGAGGAAGCCACAGCTAGGATTTACTACCTAGAAGGCAGGTGAGTATAGTGGTAAGAAGACGGACATGGCTCTGGAGAAGCCCATCAGAAGAAAAGATTGATTGGGCCTGTGGGGACAGGAGGGACTCAGCCAGAGGGAACATTTAATCGGGGCTTTGAAGACTGAGAAGTAGTTTTAGCGTAGGGAAACAGGAGGAAGGGAATCCCGGGAAGAAGGAACAGCTTGAGCGAATCGTGGTGGTGAGGTGCCCTTTCCCCTGGCGGGGAGGACCGGCCCTCCTTCCCCAGCGGCCAGATCAGCGTCAGCTCTGGTGGCCGCGGAGGAGGCCGGGAAAGGCCTGGGCATTTGCCTGTCCCTTGGCTCCTGGACAGCTGGTGGCAAGGAGCAAAGCAGCTCTGGACTGCGCTGAAGGAAGGTTAGGACTGCAGGCACGGCTGGCATGGTGTGCCCTGGGGCCAGCGTGTCCCCGGGGAAGAGCTGTGGGCCCGGCCTGCCTGGTGACACGGGCAAACATATTCCTGAGTGAGGCCAGCTCCTTCTGTCACTCCAGGGAGCTAGGGAGTCGCTGGAGGAAGCCAGCCTCCCACTGGCTGCCTGAGAGTCCCTTGAAGCTCCCCTCTCCTGGCCACTGTGTCTGGAAGGATCTCTGCTGGAATGCCTCTGTGATGGGGAGCTCACTTCCATCCAGGCAGCCCGGGATTACGGCGCAGTTTCACGGACTCTCAGGGGAGAGCTGGAGGCGCTCTCAGACCCTCTCTCGAGTCTTGACCTCCTTTGCAGAGAAACTGACACCTGGAGATGTTACTGGCCCGAGGTCATGCCAAGCAGGGCGTGGCTGAGCCTCAGTCATGGTCAGGATACTGCTCCCACGGCCATTGCAGGAGACCTCAGTGGGGGCACATGAGATCGGCTCTGACCCTCTGGCTTTGCTGGATGGTGGGGGAGTCAGGACACTCTCCTCAGCCGGCTCTATGACCTTGGACACTCATGCCCTTCCCCCGCTGTTAAGAAGAAATACATCGGGGCGCCTGGTGGCTCCGTCGGTTAAGCGTCTGACTCTTGATTTCAGTTCAGGTCATGATCTCATCATTTCCGAGTTTGAGCCCCACGTTGGGCTCTGTGCTGACAGTGCGGAGCCTGCTTGGGATTCTCTCTCTCCCCCTTGCTGCCTGCCCCTCCCGGGCTTGCACTGTCTGTAAAAATAAAACAGGTGCTAAGAGCTCGGCTGTATCCTCAGCAGAGGATAGTTTCCTCTTGAGCTCTCTGGGTGGAAGACGGTTTGTGCATCTCAAGTGGGCACGAGGGGGTAGCACAGAGCCAGGACTCCTGGGTTCCCGCCCCACTTCTCCAACCGCTTCCCTCGGGCAAGTGTCTTAGTCGCTCTGTCCTTCAGCTTTCTTATCTCTAAAGTCAAAGGACAATAGGACTCTCCTCCTTCAGTTGTCAGAATGATCAGACGAGTTAATGCACATGTCAAGCACTTAGAATAGCGCCTGGCACGTATTAGGTGCTAAAATAAAGCGTTAGCTCTTTTATTATGAGCTGTATCTTTCTCTGGGTGAAGGAAAATGGGGCGCAGAAAACAGAAAAGTTAAGCAAGTTGCCTGGGGCCACACAGCAGCTCTGTGGCAAAACCAGCCCATCTGGGGACTAGTCTGCTTTGCACGTATAGGAGGGTCCCTCTCTCTCATTGCCGGGTATGGTCCTCCCTTCCTGGTGCCTGTCTGAAGTGGCCAGTGTTGTTCCTTTGGCATGGTGAGGCCATGGCTGACCTTAGGGACTGAAGGACACCGTCTTCCACCCTGCCTTTCCGACACCTGCCCCTGACCCCTCACCCTCCTCTCGTTCCCACAGACCCTCCCGCATCACTTCTCCCCACTTTGTTTTCATCTGACCCACAGGCCCAGTGGATCTCTCCTCCCATCCCGGGTAGTCAGAGATGGGTCAGGCTCACAGATGTCAGACCCTCTTGTCAGCCTGTCATCTTCTCGTTGCCGAAGCTTGTTCCGCCTTCTTCCCTCCGGCCTGGACGTGTTCTTCATCTGTGGGCTTGCTGGGGGGCAGAAGGTGGAGGCCGGCAGCTCGCATGGTGTGTTTTCTGTGAGCCTCCCCGCTCCCTTCTCCCCTCAGGCCTGCGGTGGTAAGAAGCTAGATGCTGTGCGGTGTTTTTCTGTTTTTTCTTTTTTTTATCATGAAATTTATTGTCAAATTGGTTTCCATACAACACCATACAACAGCTGCCCTCCTCAATACCCATCACCCACCCTCCCCTCCCACCCCCATCAACCCTCAGTTTGTTCTCAGTCTTTAAGAGTCTCTTATGGTTTGGCTCCCTCCCTCTCTTTGTTTTTCCTTCCCCTCCCCCATGGTCTTCTGTTAAGTTTCTCAGGATCCACAGAGGAGTGAAAACATATGATATCCGTCTTTCTCTGTATAACTTATGTCACTTAGCATCACACTCTCCAGTTCCATCCATGTTGCCACAAAAGGCCATATTGCATTCTTTCTCATTGCCATGTAGTACTCCATTGTGTATATAAACCACAATTTCTTTATCCATTCGTCAGTTGATGGGCATTTAGGCTCTTTCCATAATTCGGCTATTGTTGAAAGTGCTGCTATAAACATTGGGGTACAAGTGCCCCTGCGCATCGGCACTCCTGTATCCCTTGGGTAAATTCCTAGCAGTGCTATTGCTGGGTCGTAGGGTAGACCTATTTTTAATTTTTTGAGGAACCTCCACACTGTTTTCCAGAGCAGCTGTATCAGTCTGCATTCCTACCAACAGTACAAGAGGGTTCCCGTTTCTCCACATCCTCGCCAGCATCTATAGTCTCCTGATTTGTTCACTTTAGCCACTCTGACTGACGTGAGGTGGTATCTCAGTGTGGTTTTGATTTGTATTTCCCTGATGAGGAGTGACATTGAGCATTTGTTCATGTGTTGGTTGGCCGTCTGGATGTCTTCTTTGGAAAAGTGTCTATTCATGTCTTCTGCCCATTTCTTCACTGGATTATTTGTTTTCCGGGTGTGGAGTTTGGTGAGTTCTTTGTAGATTTTTGGATGCTAGCCCTTTGTCCGATATGTCATTTGCAAATATTTTCCCCATTCCGTCGGTTGCCTTTTAGTTTTGTTGATTGTCTCCTTCACGGTGCAGAAGCTTTTCATCTTGATGAGGTCCCAATAGTTCATTTTTGCTTTTAATTCCCTTGCCTTTGGAGATGTGTCGAGTAAGAAATTGCTGCGGCTGAGGTCATAGAGGTCTCTTCCTGCTTTCTCCTCTCGGGTTTCGATGGTTTCCTGTCGCACATTCAGGTCCTTTATCCATTTTGAGTTTATTTTTGTGTTTGAAATATTTAAAGCTGGTGGACTCCTCCAACTACTGTGTGGGGAACAATCAGTAGGCGTGTCTGGCAGAAGTGGGAGGAAGCCACCAGGGCGGAGCCAACAGTGGATGTGGACTCACGGGGAAGGGGTGTGTGGGGCACGGGAAGTTGGGACTCCCCCATGTCCCCTCCCCTTGTACATCCACTCACGGACCAGCTGGGCTGGAGGTCTCACACAGAGCCTTTGTGCCTTGAGAGTGGTTTTTAAGAGAACACCTGTCCGTGTGCCCTTTCCCCACCCCTGCCCCGTCAGCCCCCTCCTGGTGCCCAGGGACCGCACTGGCAGCCCAGGGCCACGGGGTCTCTGGGGGCAGCAGGACTGTTCTGAGGACCCAGGCCCTGCTTGGTAGGTGGCAGGAGACATCTGCCCCTGGGGCCCTGCCGGCGGCCAGTGCAGAGCACTCAGCAGGTGATTATCGGCAGGTCCTGTAAAAGAAAATTTAAAAATGAACAATGCTGCTGCACGCGGTGTTTTTTCCTGGCTGGTTTCCCTCCCCCAGCAGCCCAAGCCCACCCCAGAGCCTTCACCCGGGTTCAGCCCGCTTCCCATACTGGAGCCCAAGGCTCTTCTTGGTCAAAAGCATCCCTCTCTGGCTGAGCAGGTGGCTCCATTATTAATACCAATATTAATAGTAGTTACCATTTATCTACACAGTGCTTGCTGTGTGCTGGGGCATGGCGCTAAGCACTTTATGTATGTAATCTCACTTAATCCTCATGGCTGCCCTGAAGTAAGTCTTGTTACTGCCATTTTACACCTGAGTAAACTGAGGCATGGGAGGATCGTGTGGCTGGAAAGAAGCACAGGGAAGTTCCAAACAAAGGCAAGGCCCTTGGCCATTGGCCTCTTTCTGAGGCTGTTATGTGTGAGAGGGGTTCTGGATTCCTGATATGAGAGGATGGAGGAGTGTGTGTGGGTGCACGTTTGTAGTAATGGTGATCAAGGAGGGCTTCCTGGAAGAAGGGATGTCTAAGATGAAACTTGAAGGATGTCTAAGAAGAAACTTGAGCCCACTCCGCACTAGGAGCATCTCAAGCGGGAGGGGGAAGTGCTCCTCCTCGACTCCAGCCTTCTCACTTCCTGGGAGCTAGCCTGGCACCAGCCCTGAGACAGCCCCAGCTCAGCCGAAATGGGGAAAAGAAGGACGTCCCCGGAGGACCCAGCAGGGGCTCCTTATGGCTGCACGACATCAGCCCTGTGCGAGACAGACCAGCTACCTACCCCCTGGTTGGCAGGGGCAGAAAGGGAAGAGCCCTCACTTGCCTACTTCTCGGGTGTTTTCCATACCAAGAACCAATTCTCTGGACACCAACTGGGTGTCCAAAAATTTAATGAAATTCAGTCTGACACTATTTGGAGTTAGTGTCAAATTATACACATTTAAGGGCTCGGGCGCACAAGACAGCCCCCATGTCACAGGCCAGTCATGAGTCCTAGGCCACCCATACTTCTCACCTACCGGCCATAAATCAGGGCTTCCTATGACCCCCTTCCTCAGGTTTTATCAGCTAGAATGACTCACAAGACTCAGGGAGGCAGTTTACTTCCATTTCCTGGGTTAACATAAAGAGTACAGCTCCGGGGCAGCCAGATGGAATGGGGTGAGAGTGGAGCTTCTGTGTCCTCTCCAGGTGCGCCACCCTCCCAGCACATGGATATGTTCACTTCCTGAGCACTCATCAGATCTCTTCAATCTCCAGCTCCCTCCCCTCCCCAGAGGTCTGGATGGGACTAAAAGATCCCCCCACTAACAAGTTGGTCTTTCTGCCCACCAGCCCCATCCTGGGGCTGCCTAGAGGCTCCCCACCCCCCAACCAAGTCCCCTCACTAGCATAAACTCAGCTGTGCTCAAAAGGGGCTCCTTATAAATGATACTCCTCTCTCTCTGGAAATTCTAAGGAATTTTGGAGCTCTGTGTCAGGAACTGGGGCAAAGACCAAATATATATATATATATACACACACACACATATATATATACATATATACATATATAGAAAAAATTTTTAATGTTTATCATTTTGAGAGAGGAGAGCAGAGGCATGAGCAGGGAGCAAGAGAGAGAGGGAGAGCACGAACGCAGGAAGCCAGGCTCTGGAGCTGTGCACAGAGGCCTGGAAAGGCTCAAACTACACGATGACATCATGACCTGAGCTGAAGTCAGTGTCTTAACTGGTTGAGCCACCCATCTCAAAATATATTTTTTATTATTACTGCACTACTGAAGGCTGTTAAAGGAGGTTCAGGGGACAGGTAAAGCCAGCCTTGGGAGGCCTTGTGTGGGGAGCTTGGAGGTTTGGGGGCTCTTTGGAATCACTAAATTCCCTCCAGCCCGTGCCTTCTCTTCCTCAACCCTCCTTCCAAACCTGGCCCTTGTCCCAAGGCCATCACAGAGTGATACATAGAAGTCAACCACCAGGGGTCCCCAAGCGGCCACTTACTAGCTGTGTGACCCTGGGCAGTACTTGCTTGTCTCCCACAGGACTTCGCTTTCCTCATGCAGTAAGATGGGGATATGATAGCCCGGCTGACTGCCCACCATGAAGGTGATTGGTGGAGGGGTAGTAGTGGCTGGCATGGAGAAAGGTTCTATACATGGCATTGTTGTCATTCATCCTATGGGGCCGGCTCACGTTCCTTCACACGACAAATACCTCCTGGGGCTCCTGAGTCCTCGCCTTCTGAGCACCAGGCTGGTGCATCAGGAGGATAGCCCTGGTCTGGTGATGCTCACATGTCATCTCAGCCAGGCTGCCTGGGGTAAGGTGGAGCCACATGTGTGAGTTGGAATTTTCTAGAAGCCGCATTAGAAAAGAAACACATTTTATTTAAAAAAAATTTTTTTAATGTTTTTATTTATTTTTGAGAGAGAGAGACAGAGCATGAGCAGGGGAGGGGCAGACGGCAGGAGACAAGTGGGCCAGAGTTCGAAGCAGCCGAAGGCTCAGTCAGGCACAGAGCCCGACGCTGGGCTGGAATGCGGACCGTGAGATCACAGACCTGAATGGTTGACGCCCAACCGACTGAGCCACCCAGGCGCCCCAAGAAACACATTTTAATAATAAGTTTAACCCAATATATCCACAATATTTTCATTTCAACCCATGTTCAATATAAAAGGTTAATGAGATATTTTACACCCATGTTTTCATATAAAGCCTTTGAAATCCTGCGTGTATTTTATGCTTCATCATGTCCCAGGACTCATTAGCCATGTGGGGCTGGTGGCCTCTCTCGCCGTACGACCTCCCTACTGGCATTATTCCCCATTTACCCAGAAGCAGGACAGTGACTCGCTGAGGTCCTGGGAAGGTGGCCATGGCACTGGATGCAAGCTCAGTGCCCTCTGCAGCCCCTACTCTGTGTCTCCCTTGTAGAAGCTATGGCATAAGGTCCTTGACTGACACTCTTGTCCTCTGACTTCCAGGCCAGGTGAACCGACTGCCCTTCTTCACCAACCACTTCTTTGACACGTACCTGCTCATCAGCGAGGACACGCCCGTGGGTGAGTTGGCACAAGGGCTGGTGGGCATGCCGGGTGGCATAGGGTGGGCTTCCCTTCCCACAAGCGAAGGTGATCTTAGAGATTGAGGCCATCTTCTACCAATTATTGGAACCTCTTCCGTGGTGTCCCTCATGGGGGTGTGTATGGCCTCTCCTTGGGGATGGGGCGCTCAGTCCTTCCCAGGGCTGTCCCTTCCCACACGGGGGGGCTCCAAGTGCCCAAGGAGTTATCACATTGAGCCCAAGATGCGTGACTTCCTCCACTTCTGTTCTACAAGATGGCTCGTTCCTCTTCTTTGGGCAAACTTGAAGTTGGCAACTGTCACAGAGTTTGTTTTGTAGCCTTTTGCACTTTTCCGTGATCACCAAGTTTTCCGCAATGAGTCTGCCTGTTTTTGTCATTAGGGGAACAATTACCTATTTTGGAGGTGATCACAAACATCCCTCACACCCCAGCTTGAGTCACCTCATTACCCAGCTCTGTCCTCATGATCCTCTTCCTGAGGGCCTGGCCTCTATGCCTGTGGCTGGAGATGTGCGCACATAGCCCTGTGGCCTTCGCTCGGCTCCGGGGACCAGAAGGTTCTCGGGAAGTGCAGCTGCACTGATGGGAAGACCCTCATTCCTGTGAGAGGCCCCTCCTGCCTCCCCCCACACTCCCTCCCTTGTCCTCATTCTTGTCCGTGTCATCTTAGGGAAAATGCCCGTCATCTGGGGCTTCTTAAACTCAGGTCTGCCTCCTCCGTGGGTCTGCGGGCGGGGCTCAGGGCCAGTGTGGTGCTTCTTTCTGGAGCGTCGCTTGTCCTTGGAAATGAAGCAAGATGGCATGGAGAGAGGGGAGGAGTGTGAAGGCATTTAACGCAGAGGTCATTTTAAACACTCTCTTACGTAAAACCAAAGGTAGGTGTGTGATAGAGAAGATGCAAAATTCTTCATAGACATCTCTGCTTGATGAGGGGAGCCTCAGCATGCCCCGGCCTCTCCCCTGCTGTGTGTGCGACCAGGACGGCAACCCCTGGAGAGACCTTTCCTTCCATCCTTCCTGGTGGAAGCTTTTTTGCAGGTGGCTGCAGAGTATAGCAGGTGTTTCTGACTGTTGTGGGGATTGTCCCCACAGTCCAATTGCTCCTTTCTAGGACCCATGGGGTTGGGGGGGGCCCTGGGGAAAGTTGCAACTCCTTTGGTGATTCACAGCCTCCCTTGGATCAGTGCTGCAAGGCTGGATTTGTGGGTGTAGGTGCTTAAAGGCTCCTCCGAGAAGGAGGCTGCCCTCCTCTCTGTCTGCCTCTTCGTCAGGCTTAGCTTAACTCCTGGTGGGGGTTGGGGGGTGGAGAGGGAACCTAGAAGTCTCCCGGGGATGCTGCTGAGCTTCAGGCCATGTGCGTGGGCTTCTGGATTCATCTGGGGGTTCTCCCCAAACCCAGGCCTCGCATGGGGCTGGTGTGGAGGTAGGAGAGTAGCTGCCTAGTATATGTGGTTCGAGAAATGAATGAACATTAGCAGCCTTGTCATCAGTAGAGGCTCTCCCGGTTCACCCATCAGTCCATCAGCTATAGAGGGGTGCACCCTCTGTGCCAGGCCTAACTGCCATGCACCCAGAGAGGAATCCGACAGAAAGATAAAGAAGTCGATGTTGGGGTGATGGGGGCCGGGTTGTATGTCCGGTTAAGTTCCAGTGGGGCCTTGAAGGAGGAAGGTGTGTTCTTCTGGGGACAGAGCAGAGGCAGGAGGAAGCTGGAGAGGTTTTGGGGAGGTGGTGGCCCTTGAGCAGAGTCCCAAAAGACTCCCTTTCTGTTCCTTCACATACTGTTTCCTACAGCTGGTTTTTACAAGTGTCAGTTCTTTTTATTTTTTAACATTTTTTAATGTTTATTTATTTTTGAGAGAGAGAGAGAGAGAGAGAGAGTGTAAGCAGGGGAGGGGCAGAGAGAGAGGGAGACGCAGAATCCGAAGCAGGCTCCAGGCTCCGAGCTGTCAGCACAGAGCCCGACATGGGGCTCGAACTCAAGAACCTCAAGATCGTGACCTGAGCCGAAGTCAGATGCTCAACCGACTGAGCCACCCAGGCGCCCCTAGAAGTGTCTGTGCTAACCTCAGCCTCCCAGGGATTGCTCTGTGGTGGAGGGACTATATCTGGGACAGGGGGGGACCACTGAGGCAGAGGCATGGCCAGCCGTTAACTGACGGGGCTGTTGGCGGGGAGAGGCGAAGGCCGCCCTCAAGTGAGCGGTGCTGGCTGTGACACCCTATCTGTGACCCTGCTCAGCCCCGAGTGTGGCGTTCTCAGAGGCCTGTGGTGCAGGGAACGTGGTGGGGTGGAGTGGGTATTGCTTGGCCAGTGCTGATGGTGATAAGCCCCAGGCTGGATGCCCCCACTCCCAGCGAGCCCTCCCGCAGGCCCTGCTCTAGTTACTTTTGGCTCCGGTTCCGCAAACGCGTTCTGCAAATGCTAAGCATCGATCGGCTTCCGGGAGCAACTCCTAGGACGTGGCCCCATTAAGCCTGCACTTGGCAGTCACAGCAGGGCCGTCGATCTGGTGCCGTGGGGATTGATCCCTGGCACTAGGGGACCTTAGGAACGAGAGAGGGCTCAGTGAGCTGAAGACAGCTCTGTTCGTCTCTCCGGGCAGGGGCTGGTGCTGAGTTGGCCCACACCTTCCTGGCTTCCCCCTTCGTGTTGCATCAGGATGGGACAGCAAACTCTGGCCTGAAAGTCATGAACTTAGTTTTTGTTCTTCACTGTGTGGCCTTGGGCACAGCACTGCCCCTCTCTGGGCCTTACCTCCTATCTCACCAATGAGAGGGCATGGGGCCCATCTTGGGCGGCCCAGGCCCTCAGATAACAGGCCTGGAGGTGTCCACTGTGTGCTGTCACCTGTGTGGCCCTGGGCCATTCAGAGGTTGATGTGAACTCACATGGATGTGGCGGGGTGCAGGCCTCAGACCAGCAGAGGCCAGGGCGAGGGTGAGGGTTGAAACAGTTTGTCCAAGGGGCTGGCCCTTTGCTTGCCATGTGGAATGGGGTGGCCTAGAGACTTGGCTTGGAGGCTTGGTTCTCACTGGCCCTTTGCTTTCTGAACCTCAATGTTCCAGCCTGTAAAATGGGGATGGAATGGACCCCTCTCTGGATTCCATGCCTGGAATGGTTTGTTAGTGAACGGGGAGCCTGTGTGTGGCCTGGAGATGACTGGTTGAGCTGTCCTGCCCGCCATGGGCTGTGGAGGGGAGAGACAGGTGCACAGAGGAGCTGGGTCTAGGGAAGGTCACTATCGATGGCTGGAGGCAGAGCCCAAGCCAGTCTGAAAGCGGCAGGAGGTCAGAGCTGTGGGCAGACCAACTTCCAGCTTCGGTGCTGATTATCCGGCTTCTGCTCAATGCCCGACGGTGGGGAGCTCATGATCCCGGAAGACAGTTCGTTTTCGTGCTACGGGACGGTTCTGGGAATGAAAAATCCTTCCTAATAGGAATATGAAATCTGTCCCTGGAACTCCCACCCATTGAGCCTAATTCAGACCACTGGAGCCTTTCAGAATAATGATAATAATAATATATGATATACTGTATATGTATAATATATACAATCATAAAAACTATGTTTGTTGACTGCTCAAGGTAGGGTACAAAGTGTGTTAATCAATGTGTTTTCCAAATTCCTCTTAAGGTTCCGGAGGTAGAGTTGGCTGTGGGCTGTTAGTGTGTGGTTTCTGCAAATGTTCTCTCCTGAGCTAGAGATTGGGTCTTAGATTCACCCCAAACCTTCCGAGCCTTTCCATTCTTTATGCTGTCGCCTCGGTTTCGGCCGGCGGGCCAGCAGCCGTGTGCTGGGGAGCAGAGGGGGAGGGCACAGCCCAGCCGCCCCAGATCCCTCGCGGAGGCTACGCGTCGTGTCACTCTATCTCCTCACCCATCTCTGGTTCCAATTCCCTCTGCCTGATGTTCTCTTTGAGGACCATCTCCCAGCCGGAGAAGACAGGAGCAAAATGAAGTCATTACGGAGCCCTGCCTGTTAACATTCAGGGCCCCCTTGTCCCTGTGTGTCTTACTCTAGACACGAACGTCCATCATTGGCAGCTGAGCTGGCCGGGGAGGGGCAGAGCAAGGGCAGATCAAGGACTCGGTGCCCGGTCGGGCTGGTGGCATCGCCCACACCGTGGCCTTGGCTGTCAGCAGTAAATGACCACGTGGCACCGGCATCCGAGGGAGGGACACTTCCTGGGTGCTGTCTCCAGGTGACCTCCCGAATCCACTCCAGACACTCACCAGTATGGCCCACGTCAAGGTCACCAACGACCTCCCGGTGGCTGAAGCCAGTCCTTAATTCTCAGAACTGTGGCCTTCTGGCAGTCGGTCTTTTTCTCTTCCAGGGCATTGGCTCTCTGGCTGTGCCTTCTCAGCTCCCTTTGCCAGCTTCTCCACACCTCCCGCACCCCTGAGTGTTGCAGGGCCCCAGGCCCAGCTCCTGTGTGCCTTCCCCGTCCGTGTTCTAGCCCCGTGGCCATCAACTCTGGTCTCGCGGCTTCAGGTCCTGTCGTGTGCTGACAAGTCGGAGGCTGCTACCTCCTTCCCAGGCCTCCTTGCAGAGGACGTTCCAGACTTGTGTGTCTGCCTCTGTGCTCAGCATTTCTACTTGGGTGTCTGCAGGGCTCTCAGCCTCTGTGCATCCAGGCTGGACTCCTGCCCTTCCCCCAGGCCCTGTTTGCCCTACAGCCTTGCCCGGCTCAGTTGCAGCTGCACCACCTGCCTCAAACACCAGTTGCCCAGGCCAAAAACTCGGGGTCGTCCCTGTCTCTTTCCTCTCTCCCTCACCTCACTTCCGATTCATCGGCAAATCCTGTTGGTGCCATCTTCAAAAGCTTTCCAGAATCTTCTCGCTTCTCGCCCCTTCTGCTCCCGCCACCGCGGTGCAGGCCTGGATTCTCTAGCAGCTTCCTGATGGTCGCAGTGGTCTCCCTGCCCCCTCACCCCGCTGAAGCCTTCTCTCATCCCCGCAGCCGAGCGGTC